GTGTGTGTGTGTGTGTATTAATGTTTGAAAGAGTGTGTTCATGCATCTGTGTCAGCTGAAAGATTTTTAAAACTATTTCAAAAAGCTCTCCCCTTTTTTGTTTGAATTATAACTGGGGAGATACTGTGTGTGTGTGTGTGTGGTGTGTGGTGTGTGTGTGTGGGTGAGCGTTAGGTTAAAGATGCGACCAGGTGAATGGAGGGCAGTGACGCGGGAGGGACGGTTACTGGTTTCTGGTGGACCAGATTCCCGCTCGTTCATCTGGGGTGAACTGCTCCTCTCTCGTAACGACGGACGTCTCCAGGAAGGTGTTTTGGCCCCTCCTCTCCCGTGAGCGTGATATGGGTAAGGACGGGTGAAAGGTGGATGGCGGGGTAAGGAGGGGGAAGGAGAGGATGGAGGGAACAGGTTTGAGAGGTTATCTGTAAGACTGTTATTCATCTGGTTATTTAGAAAGTCCAAACAGACGTGCCTGCCACAGCCGATGGGTTTCCCGCTGTTAAATACAAAATTAAAGAATTTCTCTGATGGGTGCAAAACCAGGATTAATGAAAGGCCGAGTCCAACAATACTGATTTTTAATGCAGGACGGATTTCTGCATGAAACATGACTTCTTAGGCAAATATTTAACTCATCTAAATTAAAATTTTACAACTGATATTTTGTGTTTTTGGTGAGGTTAGACTGGGAAAATGTGGAAACCCAACTGATGCTAGTGCACTAAACAGGCTTTGGAACACAAACTCCAAAACACACGCCTTCAGTAGCAAAGACCCTTACAGACGTGTGAAAAACAATTTTAATTATTAATTTACTGTAAAATCATGTCGATCACTGTTCAAAGCAAAAAAAAGGCTTCAAACTTTCAGCTGCAAACTCGGCTACGATGATGACCTTTCCTTCAAACCGTTGCCATGCACAAGAGAGAATTCAACATGACAGACCACACAAATATACAGCTCAAAACTGAGGCTCCATTTACACAGAGACAGATCATCTGTATTTTAGAGCTGCGACCATCAGGAACCATTTTGATAATTGGTTAATGGAGAGAAAAATACCCACATTCTCTGGTTCCAGCTTCTTAACTATGAATAAGTCCTGGTTTCATTAGTTGTACAGTTATAAACTGAATATTTTTTGGACTGTTTACACTTCCTGAAATTTTAAAGACCAAGGGATTCAATGATTAATTGATTAATTGATAATAAAAAAAATTATTTGTTTTGTATATTACAATTTAAGCATCTAGTAGATGCTCTTATCCAGTTTGAATTAAGAGTAAGAATATATGTAAGAGGTTCAGTTTCTCGCTCTAGGATATTCTCGTTAGACACATTGACTGTGACATTAACTACCACCATTGGGCCATCTGCAACATACTTATCCGATTGTTGCTCCTGTGGAAATCTAGCCTCAGAATTACGCTTACAAACAGTATGATACTCTGTATATGAGCCAAACACACAGCACAACCAACAGTCCACCAACCAGGTAGCAATGCCAGACACCAAACAGCACGGCTGGTGGTGTAGTGGCTCACACCAACAAGCTGTGAGTAGCACTTCATGCTATAGCATATAGTTTCCGTCCAACTGTAGCACCATATTTGACCAAATTTCCAGAAAATGTGCACTTCCATCTACTAGCGTTATGTGAATATTAGGAGTTTGGTGAATTAATAAATGAAGAGGTCGCACAAGATGAAGCATTCAAAAGAGCGCCAGTCAAACCTCAAATGATGAAAAAATTCACTGAAATGTGGCATTTATTTTTATTTGTTTAGCCTAAAATGCCTGATTTCACAGCAGCTTCTTCAAAATTTGCAATACATGTTCAAATGTTTTAAGGCATTTTTTTGCAATTCAATTGCGAGAGAAAGGAAATTGGAAAAAAAGTTGCTATTTAAAAAAAATCTAAGGCAACTTCGAAACTTAAAATTGTTAGTACTTAAGTGACGTTCATAGGGATTGGCTGAATTGGCATTAAATGTTGTGATCACAACTTCCTAGAGGGACTGCCCATTGCATTTTATATCCACATGCAAACTCTTCCACCTAACCAAAGCAAGCTATTTTGTTTTTTTTATGTGCAAATTGAAAACTTGCATAAAAACAGTTGGGACGGAAACCCAAGCTATGATACGTTCTCTTTCTATCCCATTATCTTACTTATAAACACTAAAGATGCACACAAACACACTCCCATGTTAACAGAAACATACTCTCCTACTTGCACTCTGTAAAACATACAAATGCTGTCAAATTCACAATCTTTCTTTCTCTTTGACTCTTCACATTTTTGCACAGATCACAGATTTAATGCAAGTTCACTCTGCCTCGAGCTGTCCACACACCAGGCCTCACACACCTTGAGTATGACTCGTCTGCGGTACACCCTGGTGGTGACAGTGGTCTCCTCATCAGAGCCGGACTCGTCGGCTCTAACACTCCCCTGACAAAGGCAGCCCAGGAGCAGTGTCACATTAATGACCCCAGTGTGTGAAAGTGTATGCATGCGTCTTCAATTTCTGACTTTGTGGGATCATTTTAACGGTTAAAGTCAAGTAAAAATGAAATATTGGACCAATTTTGACATTAAAATAAAATATGATAGCAAGAGATTCAAGTGTAGGTTTACTTTCCTGGGCTGGGATTACAATTCCATTTAAAAGCCACTAAAATTGAATCTAAAGCTTTAAAACCTGCATATAACAGCACACAAGGATTCTTTAGTTACAACAACAACTCATTTGAATACTTTTTTTAAGGCCTCAGGAAAACATAAAAATGTAAATAGATTTAAAATTGTCAGCTGACCCTGTCTGGAAGAGCGACTCTCACCTGGACTTTGTGCTGGGACCTTTCACCTCCCTCCTCCCGTCCTCTGCTTGGTCCCGCTGTGCTGCTGTCCTCCTGAGATCCCTTCCTCTTGGCCTCCTTTTCCTTTCCTTCCCTGGCTGAGTCACTGTGACCTCCATTCTGTCTGCTGGTCTGAGCCGGGGGCTGCTCCAATGAATCAGCCAGACTGTCTGGGCTGGGGGAGTGAAATATAGTGAGGAGATTAATCGAGGCGCTATCACAAAACTGCTGGAACGACAGAAAACCTCTGTGTGTAAATCTGTCAACAGAGAAATGTTAGAGAGACCATCCTACCTGCCCTCCTCAGTACTGGGAGTGTGGCCAGGGGCTGCCGACTCTACGGTGGCGCTGGACGTCTCACTTCTCCAGCCTGGAACTGAACACATGTCTTTTTCTGCTTGCCGTACTTGTTCGAGGATTGCTCTCACCCCCTCCTCTGTAATCTCCACGTCCTCCAAGCCTCCCTCCAGGTGTATATCCTCCAACAGACTCTGCAGCCTCTCCTGGGTCATCTCCTCTTCTTCCTCTTCTTCCTGCCTTCCATTTCCATGGCCAGGGTCTGAGCCAGCATCCTCTTTTTGGTTTCCTCCCTGACGCTCCAAAATGATGCCTTGCCCTGCCTTCAGTTCTTTCTCAAAGGCCTCAGCATGCCCGTCTGTTCCCTTTCCTGATTTCTCTACTGCCATTCTATCATTACCTGGCCTTTCACAAGAAACAAGCCCTGTCTTTTCTTGTGCAGATACATCAGCGGTCAAGGTTGTATCTTCAGCCCCAACAATGGGGGGTTCTGGGGCATTGGAGTCAGCTGCCGGGGCCACTGTGAGGGGGTCGCTGCTGGAGGTACTGGTGGTCTGAGTGAGAGAGAGGTCGCTAGGTCTAGTAAGCGTGGTCTTGCTAGGGGGGTCTGAGCTAATCTCGCCCTCGCTAAAGAAGTTGTCTGAGCGCAGCGGGGTGGGGGGCTCGTAGTTCAGGTCTGTAGGGGTTTGCAGCTCCAGATCTATATTGTCGTATCCTGGGTGGATGGCAGGAGTAAAGGATTAGAGGGTAAGGGGATTGAAGAGGGAGGGAAAGAAAAAAGAGGGGTGGAAAGGAGGGAGGGAAGAGGAGGTAGAGTGGTGGAGGTGATGAAATGAGAAACACTTGTAACATCTAAGGGTAGCATCTGTTCAATAGTCAGACAGGTGTAACCCAAATACACTTTAAAGCTGCACTGACAGATTTTTTGGCCACATGGGGGCAGCAAAACAAGCTGTAAACACAATATCACCTGACATGGAGCAACATTATCATTCATTTGGAGACGTATTTATGTCCACTGAATTAATATAATCCAATACAGAATGACTATTCTGTTCATAGGTTTCATACTTTTCATTATTAATCTGCCAATCTACTGTATAGGCCTTTATAGAATTATTAAAACAGTGATCCCAGAGACAAAATCTTATCAAATATGGGTCCAAGGCCTGATGTGTATCAATTTTGGGGACCTTGACACCAAAAGGTTGAGAACCACTGCTGTAGAGTAGGGTGATTACTCTCTGTGGATTTGTCACTATGTCATATATGCAAAAAAGCTCAGATAAAACCTAAGAAACATTTATCAGCCTCAGGAGTTGGTGGAAACCAAAAACAGAGCTAAAAGGAGAGCGAATACTCGACTTACACAAGTCAAACAGAAACACGAGACCAGATTATGCTTCACCTTTGCTGGATGTGTAAATAAGCAATTGACATGTTACTATTAGCTCTGCTGCCCCAAAGTGGCCAAAAAAAATCAATCAGTGTGGCTTTAAGGATTCTCCTTCTTCAACAAACACATTTCTCAAACATGTGGGGACTCGTGTGTGACTTCTGAACCAGAACTACAGAGTAGACACATGACCTGATCACAAAGAGATGGAAACAGAATATAAAGACAGAATATAAAATGTAAGATAGAAACTTCACAAACACTGTATTTATGTCAATTTTACATTCAGTCACGCTCCTCAGAAACTGTGTGTTCAAACTGGCACTTAAGTCAGCCACGCCTTTTGTAAAAGCACTTCAGACTCTGCGCTACTGATTTTAACTGAAATGCAATGGTAGCAAAATTAGTGAGGCAGGTCTTCATTACAGCACTTTAAAACAAGCCTGACTTCAGCTCATTGTCTCAATCATTATATAAATTTAAGAGCAAAAGCTTGAGTAGAATTCAGGTAGGTTAGTTGTGTTGTTTTCAACAAAAGGCAGAGAGGAGCAGAGCAACCGACAGCCTACATCTAAATGTAGACCTCAGGAACTGAAGGATCCCGCCTGAAGTAAGAGGGGACACCAGGAGGGAGGGGAGAGGATGGAGGGGAGGTGGGAAGTGAAGGGGGAGAAGGAGAGTGATGACTTGGAGGAGAAGAAGGGGAACATTGCAGTGGGGGAGGAGGAAGGGAATTATCAGGAAGGGGAGAGGGTGAAGGGGAAGAAAAGGGAAGAAGCGGAGTAGGAGAGGAGACACATGTTAAAGAGGGAGAAGGAGGAGAAGAAGTGGGAGGAGAGGGGAACGCAAGAGAAGCTGACAGGGGAGGAGGAGACGGAAAGAAGGGAGAGGAAGGAGCAGACATGAAGAGCGAGGTGCATGAAGTGGGAGGAGAGGGAAGAGGGGGAGACGATAGAACAGGTGTAAGAGAGGCAGAATGTGGAGGAGGGCAAAGAACAAGAGGAGAAATGGAGGAAGAAAGAGGCGAGGAGGGCAGACCAACGGCAGGGGGATGAAAGTGACGAGGGATACATGGAGGAGGGGTGAAGAACGAGGAGCAGCCAAAAGGGCTCTGGGGAGAGGAGGGGAGAGGCGCGGGGTAAGGCAGGGCGAAGACGTGAGGGAGAACAGGAGCGACAGGCAGGAGGTACACGGGAGGCGTGGCAGGGGGAGATGGGAAGAAAAAGACAGAGGAGGGAGAGGGGACAGCAGGAGGGGAGGGGAAAGAGGTGGGGAAAAAGCGAGGAGAGGAAGATGAGACACAGGTAGAGGAGGGAGGAGTAGTATGAAGAGGTGCGACAGGCTGAGGCGTTTGAGGACACTGCGGGAATGTAGAAGATCTAAGAAGTTTTGGAGCTATTACAGTTATCACAATTCACAAGAGAAAAAACACAGAACAACAATTAGACAAGATGAAAAAGACAAACAGCATCTAAAAACGGAAAAACTGATTAATGCACAGACAGTGAAGTGAACTTGTGATTGATGAAGACTTTTAGAAGCTGCAGAAGCAAAGATATTGCACACCCGAGACATGGGATTGCTTATCTTGCTTGATAAGCAGGAAAAGGGCATCTTAGTCAACAGCGGTAGCACCTCTTTAGACAGCAGGGAAACAGTAAGAGGGGGAGTATAAATAAGGGGGCAAAAGTCACATTGTGGCTTGGTCCTGCATGAGGATAGCTTTTTGAATCTAGGAGCTCTAACTAATTTTCATAGAGGAAATAAGACGATGGGATGGGAGCTGGGAATTCTGAAAAGCCGGAGCGGAGCCAGGATTTAATAAATACTGAGGCCATTAGATTAAATTTCTCCAGGGCAACCCCACACTCTCTTTCTGGCCAGTCTCCAAACAACTGCTGTGTCCCAGTTCCATACTACATACTATTTGTATACAGTATTTACTATGTATCATAGATTTTGTGCCATTACGTTAGTTGCCAGTCGTCAGTCAAACAGCGCCTTTCGAGCGCCACTGCTAATTAAACATCAGAAACAGAAAGTAAAATATGATTTAATACGTATTATTTCCCAGATTTATTTAGCTGTCTCACAATTGGCAATATATTACATTTTTTAAATTAAGTTTGTGCATTTCACTGTGGAACAAGATTGTACATCAATAACAAATTCAAGAAGTGTTGACTTCCGACTGACTGTATTGATTTTACACATAAAAGTATTTTCACATGTTTTGGGGAGTACTACTGCATACTACGACTACTATATTAGTCACTACCCAGCATAACGAACCTGAATCTCCAACACTATCAGCGGTTGCATTGTGGGTAATGTAGGAGGCAAGTTTTGACAAGGAATAATATGTCTTGTTTTGCTGGCTCATTTATTGTTTTATACTGTCTATCATGAGTGTGACAGTGTTATAGGAGTGCATGCTAAATTAGTCGAGAATCCTTAACACGCTACATACTCAAAATGATTAGAATTCATATGAAATTTGGGACACAACTGAAATCTCTCCACACTACCAGGGATATAATTATATAGGTGAAAAATGAAATCCCTTTTTTTATTAAAAGTTTAGGATTTTCTGCTGGAAAAACCTTCAAATATTGTGTCAAAATAAAACCTGACTCAGCCCTTTTAAACCCCCACATTCTCATAAATAATACTGCTATGACCTTGCTGTCCTCATCAAACACTGAAAGGGCCATATGGCTGGGGATACGCTAACGCTAAATCCCACTAGTTAGCTGCGGATGTCATCCAGTTAGTGCAGACGTAGGCAGGAGAGATCTGCAACTTCCCCCCTCCCCGGAGAGGCTTAAGATTGCTACCTCCCTACACGACTTGTGGACAGGTGTTAGTGCCAACAGGGGGCGCTGTTGTGTTTCCAGTCTTACTCTAGTCAGCCAGAGCTCAGCAGCGAGGGTAAGAGCAGATGCAACAGTTGGATCCAGAAGCTGCTGAAGTTAGCAAAAGGTAGCCATTGGTGGAAATTAGCTGGTTAGTGGTGCTTAGCGTTGACGGGGAAATTTGCTGTACGAGTTAGTCACTCAGAAGCAAGAAGTGGAGAGGAGGAGGAGGAGGAGGAGGAGGAGGAGGAGGAGCGCAGTCTGCTGGTCTCAAAGCAGGAGAAGCTACAGTGGAGCGTAGAAGCTGGGAGGCTCGGAGGAACCCAGGAGATGACAGGTACAGTACAGCTAACAGCAGTTACACAGAAGCATCATTATACACTGTACACTTTGGAAAGAGGTGTTTCATTTTCAACCCATCTGTGAGAGTCTTCCGGGACAGAGCACATCCTGATCAGCGTGTGCTATGCGGAAAACACTCGAGACCAGCGTTGAAAAGGCTGCACCAATTTGGAGAGTGTTAGGAGTGTATTGTTGTAAGCCAACAACATCAGAGCAGGCAGCCCTCTCACACAAAGCCATAGCCATGCATTTTGTGATTTCTTTTATCTATTAAATGTCTTTAAATCATCTTTGCACAAAGATCACCCGTTATTCAAAGCAATAATAACACTGATCCTTGTGTTAAGATGAGGCAATGAGGCCCATTTCAGAATTTTGTCACAAAATGTGCCTGGCTGTCTTTGTTTCCTTGACAAACAATAGAAAAATGTTCAGTTGTATGCTGGTTGGATACCTTTCTTAAATGATATGATGCATATACTGACCTAAGGCAGGGGTCCTAAAAAAGCAGTGGAAACAAATGCAAGCATACAGTTGATGCAGTTTTAGAAGAAGTATTTAAACCCTTTACTTGAGTAAAAGTAGCTACACATCACTATAAAAAATTTTCACGTTTAAGTTCTGCATTCAAATAGTAGTATTTGAAATAACAAAACTAGTTGTGCTGTTGTGTTGTTGCACATCTCTAATAGTAAGATGTGACAGGCATTGGTTCTATTTATTTTTATATCCCTTAATGTAAGCTTGCGATCTTATATCACCTCCTTATTAAACTTGTCCCGCAGTCATTACTTGACTTGTTGAAGTGATAGCTAACGCTCCAAGTCCCACGTGCAAGCACTACATTTGGAATTTTAGTTTTTGTGCTGCACACACCTGGAACACAATAACAGACATTAAAAGATAAATATTAAAAAAAAACACATTAACCGTTTTAAACTGTGTTCTGTTGTCTGCTTGCTTATTTACACACATTTTGTGTGTATTTATTCCATCAATATTCTATTGTACACTCTTTTTGTATATAAAGGATTATAAGAAAATGTGCCTACCTTCCTCAGTGATAAAAACATATAAACAAACTGTATATTTTATAATCAGCTATCTGTGACAAAAGGCACATTGTTATCAAAGTTCTGAAGTGTTCCCCATTGCGTCTGTCAGAATCAGAGAATACTAGTAGCTGCCACATTTCATTTCCATTTAAAAGGAGAGAGAGAAAGTTAGAAAGAGAGAAAGATACTGCTTAAAGCAAGCATGCCCGTATAATAAATTGGTTGTTATAATTATGTTTTTATGTATTTTCTAAAAAGCATATGACACAGTTTGACAAAAGGAGATATGTTGGGTATCAGTTAACATTTAAATCTTTTAACATACACATAAACATAACTATTGATAAACCAAATGATGAACCAGTGCCCTGACCCACCTGAAAATGCGCTTCATTCATTGATCATCTTATCAACAAGATTATCAATACATTTATCAGATGTGACAGAGACACCGATTCATTAGCGGCTTACATTTGCTTCAGGATCATGCTTTTTAAACAGGTTATAAAACAGTCACACACTAAAAAGTGTCATGCACCCAAAATGGTACAGAAGTTTTTAAAATCACCCAAAAATCTATCACTTGCCATTAACCAATGACTGAGTGCTACAAATGAATTGCACTGCCCAGTGTTGGAAAACTAACAAGCTGACTGGGGTGACTGCTTGACTGTTGACTGTTGACTGCTCTAATGCTATTACTACCTGACGGTCCATTAACTGATATGAGCTCAATGAACCTGCTGGAGCATTAAGCCATTTTGGTTCAGTTCTAATTAACGTCCATTGTTTGGACAAGCCTGATTGGTTCTGTAATTGTTTACACAGTCTGACTATCTGGCTGAGAGAGGAGGTGAAGAAGGGTGAAGGGATAGACTGAGAGATAGACTGAGAATTCAGCTAGGGTGGGCTACACTTTACCATCGGACTGATCCGGGAATACTGCGTTATCATCGGCAAAGCAGCGTGTGCCTGAAATGTTACCGTAGTCAAATATGGGCCCTTCCAGCAAAGTCACAATATCCAACCGATTGATCTTAGTCAGCACCGCAGTTAAAGCATCCGCTGCAGATGAGAGAGAGAGAAATTTCATTTACAGGAGCTTATTTCATGTTTCATGTCACAAAACCTTCATATTGCCAGTTATACTGATTCCTTGTTTTCCATAAAATAGCAACTGAAATACGTATTCCGATATACAGAAGATCAGTCAGTCCCTCCAAGAAGTTGTGATCACAACAATTAACGCAAATTCAACAAATTTAACAAATTCCTGTGAATTCTGCGTGATTTGTGCAATGGTGTCCACCACAACTTTACTGCAAATTTCACCGACCATTGTAGTTTCACTAATCATTAATTCTACTAATAGCAATTTTACTCTCACTGGAACACTGAAAATTTGATTTTTATTGAATTATTATTAAAAAAAAAAAACATTTTTCCAACATCCACAGCAATTTTTTTTTTTACCAAAGCTGCTGTGAAATGAGGCATTTAACCCCCCTGGAGGGACTGCTCAATCTGTCTCCATCACACATACATACAGTACAGGCACACACAAACACACAGTACTTACTTGTGGCATTTTTACCGTCCCTGTGCACCCATTTCTTTAGGAGCATGAAGCTCTGTGCTGTCAAGGAATTGGGGTTCTCCACTCTGATGAAGTTGATCTCGTCCACAGAGAAATCCAGCTCCCTGGCCAGCTCTGTAATAGCAACAAAAAAAACACTTTCTTGAGAAGATAAAAACACAAAGATGCAGTCCTTTGCTGCTCAATGGGTTGGCCTTGGTGCTAACGTTGCAAGGCATAACAGTCCTGTTTCTATTGCGGTAACCTGTGCTAAAAATGTCTGCACTGACAATGATGCACTGTGATTTATAATCCTTTAAGTGGCATGTGTGAGTCAGTGGCTCGTGTTACAAGCTACACTAATAGAACAAGATGTGATACAGATTGTGATGTGACTGGACTCTAGCGCTGAAGAAAATCCCTGTGATTTGTGTCAATATTTTAATTTATTTCCTTAGTGCTCATTCACTTATTACAAACTGTCAAACACTGTATCAAACCCAGCTAACGAAGCAGTGAAATGCTGCTTTTACAAACAGGCGTAGTGGCTGTAAATTTAAAACCATGAGAACATAATGTTCAGCAGGTCTACTGGTTCACTGCAGCTCTGCAACAGGAACACACATTAAATATGGATCAGATTCTTTTTCTCTGCTGAGCACTCACTCAGTCACTGCACCGGACGGACAGGCACGCCAATACAAGTAGTCACACTTATACACACTTCAGATGGATGCCTGTGTGCACACAATTAATGCGCGCTTACACACACACACACGGCGACGCCCACTCACACACATGCAGGCAGGCAGGCGTGGGGCAGTGCTGCAGTGCAGGTGGTCAGACTTGGACCAAACTGCAGAGGCCACACCCTTACCGCTGCACAAGTACAACATACAATCAAATCACGGTTCCTCCCTTACACACACAAACACAAAGATACATGATGTTGAAGAAGATGAATACATTGCTATACAAGAGTTTTGCTATTACAATAAATAATAAATGTATTACTGTTAATATTTTTTGCCCCCTAACACCTAATACGTTTCATCATGAGGTGCATGTGTTTACATTTAAACACTTCTGTGAAAATTACAATGCATTCTGTGTTCAAAGAACTCTTACTTTATCTAGCATATGAGTAGTGATGATGATGTATGTGACTATAAATGCCACTGCAGTAATGCTCAGTTAAGATATTTTTATACTATATGTCCACCAGATGGCAACATACCCTGTAAAACTAATGGTGTGAGAGCTGGGTTCAGTCCAGCCCATTGAGGGTGTGTTTTAAATTCACATACTGAACCCTCTGAACCCTCTTTGTTATAAGATGGGTATCAAATTAAATTTTTTATCAGTGAATATATTGAATGTATCCATAACTGCACTAGTTTTAATCTCTGGTTTGGTTGGTAAACTAATTGAGATGAAACTGATTTAACTGCAACAATCAATGACCATAATAAAGATGTTTTTCTTGCATTGCTTAATGCTTGTTTTTGAGCGTATTTTGCGAGAAAAGTGAGATGTGCGTAAACTCACCAGTCCAGCTGAGTCCGAGGTGGTCGGCTACTATTGCCATGCGGAGGTCTGTTCTCTCACAGGGACTCTGGGGGCCTGTGCGAGGAAGCAGGGGAGGGCAGGACACAAACAATTAACATTTGATATAACAACAATCCCCAAATTAATTGTGTGTGTGGGTCTCAGTAAGAGATACACAAAATGGCAGATTGGGATTGTGAACTGAAAGTTTGTCTGTTTGAAATTGTAGACAAGACTTACTAAATACCTAGTTAATGAATACCTACTTAATAAAACTGAGTTTTTGTCTATTTTTTGTGGTGTGTATTCATACTAAACCCTGTAGTGTTGGCGACGATACAAACATAAAGACTAACTTTAGCTCACTGTCCCAGGTCTCAAGTCTGAGAAAAAAACAAAAAAGAATTTCTGGCCAGACTTTCCTTAAATGGTTCAGTTTGGATAATGGATGCTCACTCAAAGGAATAGGTCAACATTTTGGGAAATAAGCCTCATATTCTTGCTGAGAATTAGATAAAGAGATTGATACCACTCTCATCTCTGTCTGTTCAATAAGAAGCTGGCGTCAGGAGACGTTAGCTTAGCTTGGAAAACGGGAAACGGAAAGCCTGGCTCAGTCCAGAGGTAAAAAGAAATCTACCTACTAGCTCACTAAAAGCTCACTAATTATCTGCATTGTATTTCATTAAGTTAATCCATGCAAAAACCGAAGTATAAAAATTATAAGCTGTGCTTTTACGTGGTATTATGTGTCAGACAATGTATTTTATATATATATATATATATATATGTATGTTATATATATTATTTATTAGTTAGGAGCAGTGTGGCCAATGTTTATGCATATTTCCCAAAATGTCAAACTATTTCTTTAACTTTTACAATGGACTATCTATAAGGTTATATTTTATTTATTTTCTCTTTATTATTAAGCCTTGTGAAATGCAGATATGTCCTCTGGATGGGACACAGATTTCCATAACATCTCTACTAGACTAGTTTCATACTCTGGCTAATGAGGACGGATGGTAAGGCCAGAAAAGGAAAAACAAAACTCACATTTTTACACTAACATGTTTGATGTTCAGTAGTATTAGTACCGGTAGCGTTCCAAGAGTAAAAGGAGTTTTACATATCACATCACTAACAACAAACGATCTACCATCAGGCAACATTCCCGTCCACTGATAAAAACAATTCATGGCTACAACTTGAAATCAATAGTAATCCAGCTGCACCAAGTTTCCCACGAAGTTACGAATGACTGACTACACTGATACACTCTTGTGCAGCTGACACTCATATGATTGTCAAGTTCAGTTGATGAATTGTTTTCGCAGTGTTTCCAGAGAGCAAAAGGACCACCAAATGATATCTACAAACCAGGCAAGCAGACCGAAACACACACAAGGTCATATTCCCCCAAACAATCTCTTACAGCTAGGTCTTAACCATGTCAAGGGTGGAGGTGGGTGGTGTCATGTGGTGCAGTGCAAGGCTAACTTAATCTGTAGTGTGAAATCAAAGTGAGTGGTAGCCTGTAGGACCCCACATTGATAGAAAGGAATGCATACTTACTCTTAACCGAGCCCCTCAAGTGTGCTTACTTGCAAACTGATCCTGACAACTAGTGTTTGCTGATATTGAAATTGTAGAGATTGTAGTTCATATACCTATTTTTTCTGTGCACCGAAGTCACTATAGTTTATTTTAAAGCTCTCAGTAATCTACTGTCATAGCACATTTACAGAAACTCCTTTACCTAACAGATTTTAAACAACAAACAACATGAAATTAGGCTATTTAAGCTAAATGAAATATCTTGCTTGATCCAGGGACACTTTTTGAGTATTCTTGACTCAGCTATCAATTCTCCATGCCTTAGCCTTTACCTCTTTGTCTAAATTAGACAGCACAGGACACAGATAACAAGAATGACAGGAAGAAGAAGTGACAGCTACACTTACGTCACATCACAAAGCACCCACAACAGCTACATGCATCTCTTATAGAAAGATAAAGTATAACAAGTGTTTAGAAAGAGTTTACAAACTAGTCTCGTTCTCCGTGACAGGAGCCGTGATTGGTTGATCAACCTGACTCCCTTCCTCCTTCTCCTTCTGCTTTTGCTCCTTCCCTCCAAGTGTCCGCCTACTCTTCCTTCTGCTCCTCCTCTCACTGTTGGTCTGTTCAACCTCAGCTCTCACATCTCTAGCAGATGGTGTTGATGTGGTGGTGCTGGTGGAGGTGGAGGTAGAGGTGCGTGAAGTGCAGGAACTTCTAGAAGCTCTAGATGGTTCTGACAAGGAAGTGTTCCTGGTAGTGCTGAGGCTGCAGCTCTCTTCGTCCTCAGTGGGCAATGTTTTCCCCTCTAACTTTGTTTCAACCTCCTTTGGAAGGGTTTGGTCCAAAAGATTGGCTCCCTGGCTATTGACAGACCTTGATTTAAAGTTTTTTGAGACCACTGCACTGCTTTTTCTTCCTGTCTCACGTGTGCTACTTTTACCTAGGGTTTTCATGATACTGTATCTGTGTTCAGTACTGGATCTGGATTTAGTTAGTTGTTTATTACCCCTGGCAGTTTGAATGCTTCTGTCACTAACCACAGATTTGGTTCTAACCTGCTTCTGATCCTGGGAACAAGAGGAGTATTTCATGGCTTTCATTACCGGGATTTTAGATTTAGGAAACAAATTTTCAAAAGGGTCTAATCTTTCCCTGACATTATGCTTGGCATGTTTCTTGACAAGGAATTTATCGACTTTTTTTTGTGCCTTGTCTTTCACTACTGATCGACTCTGACTGCATAGTGTGCGGCTGCGCTCTCTCACTGGTAACCTGGACTTGCATATCTTGCCTTTGATGTCTTTGGCTCCTGTGTTTGTTATTGCTACATTAGTAAAAGCCCTGACCTCCCTGCTGTTCTCCTCTAGCTGGCTGAAGGATGCTTCTATCCTGCTGACCTCCTGCAGAGTAGGTTCAGAACAGGACAACAAGTTGAACACAATACTGCCAGCCTGAAGGAGGTCTGTATGGCTATAATTGGAGTCAGGGATGTTGCTACTGGTATTGCTGCTCCAAGTTTGAGAAGTGCTTATCTGTTGTGAAGGTGCCAAAGAAGAATCTGTGCTTTGGTAATAAGTGCTTTGTTTGGATGTACCTGAATTAATTCTGTAATTTGAAAAATAATCTGTCATGCCTGATGTATCAAAATTAGAATAATCTGTATAGTTTGAGGTTACAGAATAAGAACTATCTACAGTTGTTCCTGAGGTTATGTTATTAGAAACATCAAATATGCCTGGTATTCTACATTCAGAACTGCTATTTGAAGCATTGGAGGTTTTGTCAGATGACAACTTGAATCCTGTTTTAAAAGTGGAGAATTTAGGCTCAGTGTTGGAAGAGTCTCTGCATGTGGTGTAACTGCCAGTCGCAGTCGATATTTCTAGCTGGACAGTAGTAGTTTGAATGGGGACTTGAGGGAGTGTTAAAGTATCTGTGGGATCCTGAGTAATAAACTGATCCCTGTGTTGTGAGGAGGAATCTACCTCTGGGTCCCTGACCCTGTACCTGCCCGCCGAGTAGTAATGCTCACCAATCTGAAAAAACTGGAGCCTCTCCTCCACCATGTCCCTCTTGCTCATGTCAATCGCACCACTGCGTGTCATCTCAAACATCTTCCCTTCATGGAAGGGGAATGGGTTTGGCTCGCTCGTTGGCGTGCTATCGTCCGTTGGTGTTCGGGCTGGGGTAGTGTCTGGTGTTGTGGCCTGAGACTGGTCTTCCGCTGCCAGTCCAAAAGGTTTAGGCTCACCATTGCTTCCCCGTGTCCCTCCCATGTCAACGACTTCTTCTTCGCCACCTTTACTGGGCCAGGGGTCAAAGTCCAGCCCTTTAGTGGCAACAGTCTTAAAAGGAGAGTTAAACTCCTCTTCTAATTTGTAACTAAAGTAAGTGTCTGAAAATCCCTCTTTATCTGGCTGTTTTTGTTCTTGACTTTTAACCCCATCCATACTAACGCCATCAGGTTTTTCACCGTTTGAGGGGGTATCTTTTTTGAAAGTGTCCTTTTGACATTCCTCTGGGGTTTTCTCCTCTTCAATTACTTCCAGTTTAGTTGGGGGAAAAGAGCGATCAGTGGACCTAAATGTGTCTGTTGCCCAAACGTCTCTCCGACTGTCTGGAAGACCAAACAGCCGTAAATCTGCCTGCTCGCACAGGCCATCATCCTCATCCTGAAGTTCATATCCATCTAATGAGTCTATCTCTGTTGCATCTGTGTCATGAGAAAATTCAGCCGTTGTGGCTATTGAGCAGTCTGTTATTGACTGGTCATTTCCATTTTGTTCATATTCATACTCCTCTCCTTTGCCATTAGAACCTTTAGAACCATTGGAACCATTGGAGCCATTGGTCCCATTGGTCCCATCAGGAGGTTCTTTGTTGTTTCCATTTTTGTCATGTTTTTTAGATTTAGATGCCTTTTCCTTCTCCTTCTTCTTCTTCTTCTCCTCATCTTCTTCCTCTGGAACTTTGAAAGTGAATTTCTTACATGGAATTGGTTGGAAGATTGATTCATCATCTTCTGCCTCTTCATCATTTGACTGACTGTCATCGGCCCCAGGGAGAACTGGAGTAGGGGGTTGGATACGTATAATTGGCTCGGTCAGCAGATGCTTGTCATGTTCTTCCTGTAAGTTCACCTCCATCATTTCTGTTTCAGTTTCTGAAGAGGCACAGGAACCTTTCCTATCTGGGTCTGACGTTTCTGATGAGTCCAGAGGAGGAGGGGGAGGAAACTCAATATATGCAATACCTTTGTCTTTTGAGACTTCTTGCTGCTCCTGCCCTGTCATTTCATCATGCCTGACATTGACTGTGGTTTCTTGGTGGTTGAAATTATTACTCAGTTCCTGCTGGTTATCATTCATTTTTGTTTCTTCCTTATTAGCATTAGCTAGGTCTGCTTGGGTGGCATGAAGACTAGTTTTGCTTTCTGGTAGGGCCTCCCTAAAAGAGAAAACAACTTTGCCTTGGTCATCTTCCTCTGATTCTTCAGATACCTCCATGATGGGGCTGGGTTTCCCTGGCATGAATCCCATAAAGCAATCAGGGGTCCTGGACGTAAGGTCATAGCTGACCTCCTCAGAGCTGGGGGTCTCTGGTGTAAGGGGGCTTTTCCCTGAGCTATCTATGAAAGAGACCTGTTCTAGTGTGTCATCATCAGGGCTTATGGGGCTGACTGCTGAATTTGATTTCTGTTTGACTGTGTACAGAGTCCCTTTGGCCTCTCTCTCTGCTTGCCTTCCCACCTGGACACTGACATAAACAGGTAATGTTTTGATGCCCTTGAAATTCTCTTTGGTTGTTATTGCAGCCGGAGGGGTTATTACTTTCTCCAGTGTTTCTCTATGGCTGGGAAGATTATTGGAATTGGAATCTTTGGGTGCATTATCTAGAATTTCAAATGTCAGATTTTCATCTGTTTTCACTGGGGTTGTCTCAAGACTGGTCTGTATTTTGCTCTTAGATAATGTAGGTATCTGTGAAGGTTTAGTTATTGTCTGTTTCTTTGTTAGGTCATCATCTAAAGTAGAAGCTAATCTTACAGGTATTTGGGATTCTGTCTTTTTTCTGAGGTTTTTGTTTAGTGGTTCTTCTTTGTCTTTTCTTGATACCTCCGCTATTACATCTCTGGAAGCAGATTCACTTTTTGTGACTTGTTGATACTTTTTAGCATCAATATCTTTCTCTAGTTGCCTAGTAGTATCATGAACAACAGGTTTCTGGACTTTTTGACCTTTATTGCTTTCTTTAATTTCCTGAGTAACACTGGAATGGATATCTCTCCCTTTAGTAGTTGCTTTGTGAGTCTCAGTTTCACTAATTTTATGTTTTTGCAAAGAGGCCTCTGGGATGTTTTTGTTTGGCAACTTTTCTCCTGTATGTTTTGGGGCTTTAGATGTTGATATCAAAGCCGGTTTACTGCTGTCCATGGCAGCACATATATCCTTCTCAACATCCTTTTTCTGGCTTCCTTCTTCTGATGTTTCAGATACTTTTGATGTTTTTCCTCCTGCGAAAAACTGATAAACAGGAAGTTTGCTCTCCTGTAATTTCTTTATTGAGGGTTTTGGCTGCACTGGAGGAGGAATTTTGGTTGGAGTAGACTGACTCTGTTTCTGAGCCTCAGATTCAAACTTCATCCTTACAGCACTGACTTTGGATGTTGATTTTACATGAGTGGGAGAAGAGGGTTCAGACTCACTAGTTTGTTGTTTAATTGTATCCTCACTTTTATGAGAGAGCATGCTTTTCTGGGGACTGCTTGGTAAGCTAGAGCTTTTCTTTTCAGTTGTAGTGGTACTGCCAAATATTTTACCAGCAGAAGGTTCCCTGAGTTTGCTTTTACTGAAGACCTCTTCTCCTGCATTAGGTTTCTGCTGTGTTTTCTCAGGGCTACTGCAAGCTGAGCTAGGCCAGGACCTGGGTTCTTTTGGCTCTCGTCTCACAGGCTTTTTCTCAGGGGACTGCAGCTCATCATTGAGCTTCTCTGTTTTGTCACGGAAGAACTGTGATACCTCACTGAGTTTTTCTTCAGCTTCCTTTACAGTTTGGTCCACCCTATCCTCATAAAGGAGCTTATCCCTGCTCCTGTCATGTTTATCCTCTGTAAATCTCATCCAAACTGCATGTTTGGGACTGCCTTGTTCTGTGGAGTAATGAAGCACTGTCACTTTATCAAACTGAGATGGTTCATCCCTGTGCAAGAATTTACCAGATTTAGAGGACCCATCTTTAGATGACTTAGAAACAAACTCTCTTTTGGGGCTACCATGCTGCTGACTTGTGCTCTCAGTGCCACGGCTACCACTCTCCTCAGAAACTAGGTGACGGTCAGTCACTACTGCTGAATCCTCTGTATCAGAGTGAGATGATGACGCATCAAGCTTCTCTGAGAGGAGCATTTTCTCTGCAAACCTATATGACTCGCCTCTGATTTCTGATAGTTCATCATCACAGTATTCTATGGAGTGCTGGCTTAATAATTTTAGGGCTTTATATGAATCATCTGCTATTAGCTGGGCAGAACTTGGGCGACTGTCCTCCTCCTGTGACACTGGGGTGTTAACACGAGATGTTTCTAGGAAGGAGGGCAGGGATTCTTCGGCAGTAAGCTCCTCTTCTTCCTGTTGGGCCTCATCGTAATCAGTAAGTTCCTTGATTCCATGGTCTCCTTTGTAGACATAAAGTTCAGGGTGTTTCTTGGTTTCCCTGATAATAACTTCAGTTGGCTCTGCTGTGCTGTGGCCCTTTTCAATATGAACCTCGATTATTCTTTCGACTTTCGGTTTGGATTTAGTGTCTCTGTCAAGAAATCTAGGAGTCAGCTCATCGCCTTTGACAGAATCCTGGCTAGCTTTGTGTTCAAAAAGGCCTGCAAGTTCTTTAGATGGGTCCCTCCCTGACTGGAAAGCTTTCATAATATCTCTAACTGACATACCTTCCTCTATCATCTCAGCGCCATCAGTCAGTTGGGGCTTGTGATAGACCATTCTAGTAGTGGTCGTAATATGAGTTTCCTCTTTAAGACACACACTTTTGTTCATCATTGAGTCCTCTTCTGGCATTTTCATCTGTAAGGCTTTGATGGAGCTTGTTGAAGCTGCATCTGGCTCCATAGAAGGAATAGCAGATGCAGCCTCCTCCATGAGCAAAGGCTCACAAGGATCATCAGGCTGTTCATAGCTCCTAATGTGGACCACTTCAGTCCTGGTCTCAGTTACGCAGGGTGGGATGGGTGAATCTGTGAATAAAGGCTTAGGTCCTGTACTCTCTGCACTCTGAGGAGCAGAAGGTGTCTTTTCACTCCTGGTCTCAAACCCACTGTCAGACAAGGGACTCTTATCCTGCTCATGAGACAGGTCCTCTGGTGATTCCAAAATAGTGTCCGCCCCCTGATATGATTCAGCAAGTTTGCTTAGGTCCTTCTCTGATGGAGACCTGAGCATGCCTGAGACTGGGGGAGGCATTTTAAGTTTGTGCTCTTGTATTGACATAGATGGTTTGAGAACACGTTTCTGTTTTTCTTCCCCTTCTCTTTTTGCCTCCTCCTCGTACCTAGATTTTAACTCTGCCATTTTGGAGAGTGAGCTAGCGCCAATGTCATTGGTTAAAAAGTCTACTACTTTAGCCAACTCTAAGTCTTTGCTTGACAGGGACTGGTGCTTGAGCAGGAGTGTTTTTTCATCGAAAGGAGGGTAATAGTCTGAGAGCACACTTCTTTGTGCCTCCTCAATCTCATCCTTAGAAAATTCCTCCCACTCATCCTCTGAGGCTCTCTCCTTACCTGCAATAGTCTTACCTTCACTAATTATATCTTTCTGTAGTATCTCACTGACTTTCACTAAATCTTCTTTCACTTTCTCCACTAGAGTAAATGGCTCCTCATCCTCTAACTTGGTCTCTTTAGGAGTGCCAGTATGTGATGTTTGGACAGTTTTAGCTGCTGTCTGTGTGTCTGTCTGAAGGATAGCTGTCATTCTCATCAGATCCTCTTTCATGTCTGCTACATCTTTTAGTATCTCCTGATTGGAAGTTGCAGTTGGGTGGATGATGGGCGGTGTGATAAATGGAGGGGATTTCAGTTGGGAATTTATTTTTGATGTGGTAACACAGGAAGACAAAGAAGATGAGGACAGGGCGCGAGGTGAATCAGGCAGTGCCATTTTGAGAGACCCTGGCCCTGGTTTGACAGGGGTGTCTGGAATGACGTTGACTAAGGAGTACACAGGTACAGTCACCGTATTGGATGAAACTGCCGGGCTGGAGGAGGCAACTACAGATCTCAGAGAACCATAAGCAGAGCTTGCTGTTGTTGTTCTATGTGAGGAGGACAGTGACCTAAGAGTGCCATAGCCTGACACAGAATAAGAGTCTATAGCTTCATTTATGGCTGCACTGACACTGGAGGTTGCTGCCTGGGTGGTGGCCTGGATCCTCTCCTGAAGGCTGCTACTTCTCTCTGAGAGATGGCGAGAAGAAGGGGAGGATGGTGTGGAGGAGGATGGATATTTAACAGGTGAGACAGATCCATTCATCATGGACAGTTCTGAGGAAGCAATTGTTGTCTGCCCAGTTGAGGAGAGAGATGAGAGGGATGTCCTCCCTCCTCTGGATGAGAGCGTTGAATCTACAGAGGTTTTCAAAGAGGACAGGCTGGAGATGCTTTTAACAGAAGAGAGGTTAGGTGCCCCTGCATCTGTCATAACTGTGGACCCAAGGGTAGTTTTAAAAGGCAGGTTAGAATTGTACATGTTATAAGATGTCTTTGGCGATGCTGGAGCAGTAACATGAGCTGATGACCTTTCTGGTATGGAACCATTGGGTATTGAGTGAAGTGGGGAAGTCCTTGATGTGTATGCTGAAGCAAGACTTTTGATAGATGCTGGATCTGTGGCAGGTTTACATGGACTTCCAGAGGACACAAGGCTGGCAGACCCCTGGACAGGGTACTGACCCAGCTGGACAACAGTTTTGATGGGTGAAGGCATAGTCCTGTAAGACCTGATGGGGGATGAGGACGCTATGTCGCTAACTGATTTAACTGGGGATGACAGGGTAGGTACTGGTGGTGGAGCTCCGAGGGTGACTTTGATAGTTGCAGGGCATGCAGGTGACGGGGAGGAAAGGGGCCAGGTAGTTTTCAATGGAGAAGCAGCTGGTGAGCCTGCCGGTGAATCGGTAGAGGTGAGGGAACACCCCACTCCGACGGGCCTTGTTTGGCCAGGGACGGTAATAGGAGCAGTCGGCCATGATGGGTAAGGTCTGGTTGGAAAGACAGGTTTGTGAGGGTAACCAGTAGGCAGTGTTCTTGATGTTGTGCTTCGCTCAACTGCTGTTTCTTCAGATGAATTTGTAGAAATAATGATAAAGAAGGAATGGAAAAAATAATCAAAAGAATGTGGAATAGTAAAAGAAAATTATGTTGGAGGAGGAAAAGGAAGAAAAAATGTGAAAGAAGAAGAGATCAGAGGAGGAAGAGTTGGTCAGTGACGCAGTCCTAGTATCAAGGAGGGAAAAACAGCAGTTTTATGAAGTGCTGAGATAAGATATTTGATTATTGATCGAAGATGGAGTCATGAAAAGAAACAGTTGTGATCCTGATTTAGGATTGGGAGATGACTCAAACAACAGCAACAACAACAAAATGAATAAACTGAACAAAGCACATACAGCAGCAAAGTAAAAATCCAAAGACGATGGAGTAGACTAACAACTGACAACAGAAAAATGGCAAGACAAATGCACCAGGATTAACACAAAAACAACTTCTCTCTTTTGACTTCAGATGTTCTAAAATCACATATTGATTCTGGCTCTAATTTCAATCCGCTTTTTAAAGTGCCTTTTATCTGTTTGGTCCAAAAATTACGTAATGACAGATTCCACAAAGACAATTTAGACATTATGATACAATACAGCCAAAGGCTGCAGAAGTTTCCATTTTCCGTTTATTATATAACAAAATATGACAAAATGTGTTTTCCAAGACTTAAGTTTTGGGCCATTTTGCCATGCAAGATCGATAAGAACTGGTGACAAGCACAGAGTGTGAAAAACTGAAAACAAACACCTGAAAGAAAGCCAAACTCAAGACCTCCTAACATGCATTTTTGTCCCACAAAAAGCTGTTACACCATCACAAAGCCAAAAAGAGCTTTAAACTCAGAGGGGACAAATGGACAATAAATAAAATTTTACTTTGACCTTCCCAAATGCCTGTAACATTGTGTTGGTAAGCCAAAGAAAAATTTTGATGCATTTGGACTTCTCAAACTCAGCAGTGGAAATCAACCAAACAAACCCAGAAGAAGTACAACTAACAACGTGGGCAAGCACAGCACAAAAACTTAAAAACCACTCATTGACCCATGCAATATGTACCATGTTGTAAACAAGCATGTGAACAGTGCATGTTATGTGGGATGAGAAATATGCATTTATTACATTAAGTAAGTCACATCTATCTACATATTGATCACGCATTTTACAGGTTAATTAAAATTGTTAATAAACTAACTTATCCACGAAAATTGGCATTTTTATATTCATCAAAGGGTTTGTTAGTGAAAATGTCAAACTCACTCAGTGCAGGCTCGGCCAGATAGCTGTAGCGCTTACGTAAGGCTAGGGATGCAAAGGTATGACGTCGATCTGGCTTTTCAGTCTGCAACAATAGCAAACAACACATCAGTTCTAGGCCACCCTACATTGTATAGTGCTGCCAAATGAGCAACATTTGGACCTCGTAATTTCAAATTAAAGCAAACCCAATAGTCTGCGTTAGTAGTAGCCCATATTGAACAGTTGCATACAGCAGCAAATTCTCCTTTAAGAGAATTTACTGCACTTCAATTTTATATTTTTGTAAGTACTGATACCAATACTTACAATAATTGTTACTATGCCAAGCTAGTCAAATTAGCTTGAGTTAGTCAGGATAAGGCTACAAACTCTAAATTATAAGTACTAAAAAGTGCAAATAATCAGTTTTGAGGAAATGTTACTAATGGTGAAAAGTTAACTTAAGGACAATGTCAGTACATCTAAACTCCAAAGTCACTTGTATCACATTATGTAGAGCGGAAAGGATAAGGATTGGACATAAAACAAAGAGTTGTTTCATATCTACAATATATCATGCAAAACTGAGCAGCTAAAGGTTGCTTTGGACAAGGAAAGCTCGTATTGTCCTTGTAGAAGCGGAAAGAATAAGGCTATGATGAACAGAGCAGGGCCACTAAGCAGGGCCGCTATAGATCTAGCGCAGAGGACAGCACATGGTGGGGAGGGTGTGGTTTACCTCATCCTCGGCATCTGACTCCATTTCCTGGTTCCCAAGATGCATTGCAGAAACAGGGGGAGTAACATAATGGAAAGCAGGGGGAAAAGAAACATCAGGGTGTGAAAAAGGAGTGATTGACAGAAGCTCAAACTCAGAAGAGAAGCCACTTAAGCAAACAAAAAAAAACACAAAACAAACACAAAAAAAAGTATAAAGCGCCAACACTCAGCAAATGAACTCAAGCCACAAAAAGCCAGCCTGATAATCAAAAGAAGCCTTTTGTACGAAATGCCCTCAGCCAAAAGCATGTCATCCAAATCAAAAGGTAGGTAGGAACAAAATGAAACAGCCAATGGCGAGAATCCACTGCAAAGAATACCGATATATGTAAAAGAGAAGCTTTAAACAGATAAAAGACACAGTGGCGGCAGTTTGGCCAAAGTCTTTCTCTGTCTTTCATCTATCAGTGTTATTGGGGCCGAAACTACCCTAGCCATGTTATGGTTATGGAGGTGACAACAGAGAATGGTGAGTTCACAATACCTTACCTTTTTCACTGCAGGAAGTGTGATGTTCAGGTTGCACACAGCTGTTTGTGGGAGGCCTTTTGCGGTCTTACACTCTTTAAGGAACGTAAGACGACCGCAGGGCTCCTGGCTGGGATCTCTCACCTAGAGAGAGAACATTGCTTCTTTATGTACCTTGTTCCTTGATAAGGCTGTAGTCAATAGTGATGAACCTCAATTTGAATACTACTTTATCCACGTGTATCTGCAAATGTGTATGTATGTATTTGTGGAGAGTATATTACATAACGATTCTGTGTTTTATTTTATTAGGTAGTATAGCACAGCAGGTAACAGAAGAAAAGAAGCCCTTGTTAGTGGCCAAGAGGTGACTTGGCTTTGACATGGATGTGGGTAATATCAAAAATATATTTTTAAGGTCTATTGACAAAAATCTTATATTATGCATACTTATGTTTTTATTAGTGTTTAACCACCTGAAAATAAGAACTATTGTGTTTTTTTTTACTTTGGAATGAGCTGATTTTATTTACCATGGAGTTCGCCATGTTGAACCACCATGTTTCTACAGTAGCCCAAAACAGACAAACAAAACACTGGCTCTATATGAGGCCGTTAGCGTTTCACAGCCACCATAGTTTCTCCTTTATGCTTGAAAGGGGAGGGTGAAGCGGGGGAGTTGCAATCTGCAACTAACTACACCGTTAGATACCGATTAGTTAAATCCTACACACCTTTAAGCCTTAAATTGATTTTATTGTTTTTCTAATAAGGAAATGTTTAGTGATGAATAATGGAACAGACCTATTGTACATACTTTTATACACATGTAACCCTGCTACTGTAGTTCAAATTAGCTGTATTGTGATAAAGTGGTGTGCCTGATCCACTTCACATGCAGTAAGGATAGTTTTCATAGTAACAGAGCACCAAATGATGCAAGAGAATTGATTATGGAGAACGTGACGTTAGTGGGTCGATCAATGACGTGAGGTTATTTAGGAGAGGCAAAGGGAACTAGGTTATTCCCTGTGGACTTGTATTGAAAGCTAGTGTGGGGAGTAGGGCAACAAAGGGAAATAGAGCTAAAACAATCCTGGCTTAGGACAGTATGTTAACAGAAGTGTACTTTCTGCTGCTTTTCTCTAGCATTGTGTCTTGTACCCTTTTGTACTTGGTTATGACAACCTTGGTGTATTTTAAGTAACTTTCACAGAGTTTTTTTGCCATGTTGATTTATAGATCTTCCAACTCCCCATTCCAGCCTGAAAAGAAGGCTTTGTAGGCACTAGTGATGACAGAGTGCATGCAGTACCTTGACACAGAACGGCAAACGGTTCTCCTTGAAGGCGTAGAAGTTAAGAACTAACTGCTGACCCGCTTTAGACAAGGGAGCCAAGTTTCCATAGCAATCCACATAGATCGGCCTGCCCTCCAGAACCTGAGAAAGCACATCATAGAGGTGAGAATGGCCATGTGCAACAAAAACCGGCATCACTCGTGAAAGAATAACCATTTATGATAAGGTCTGGAGGAAGCCAACAGCAGGAATACAGATCCGGTTCCAACCCAGCTTATAACAAACAAACTGGCACGAGCACAAGCACTTACAAATCTTTCGCTTTCCTGGATCTTTTTTCAGCACCTTTCCCTATATGATAATTCTAGAGTTGCAGGAGTCTGACTATACTGCAGTTCTGACCTTGATCCGGCTGCCTTTAGAGTAATGTTACTGACTTATGATCTAATCTTAATGTACTGCTGCAACTATTTTGAAGGCAGTTGAATAACCTAAACCAGGTAAACACTTTAACATGCATGTTTTTAATCTAAACATATTCACAAGTGACACCTTTACTGTGTAAATAAACTGAACTGAATAAATTAAAAAACTTACCATAAAGGGGTTTGACGAAAGATAGCTTTACATTCACTGTTTTATCTAACAATCAAATTAAATTCTACTTAATTTACTTATTACAATCCATGGAACTTTGTGCAAATGTACTTTTCACATGTATAATAATGCTTTTTTTATATAATAGTTTAACACGGAGGATGGAAAGCAAGATAATGTATAAATAAATATAAATGTATGTATAAAAATTAAACTTCTGTAATAACCTATTAATGTCCTATTAATGTGATTACAAATTCATTCAAAATCTCTGAACGTCGCCTTTTGAAAGAACCAGAATAGATAATAACCAACCGATAATTATGTACCTCTATGTCTTTGCTCCTGGCCACCTCCTCGAAGTTCTCCTGCTGCTCCAGGGTCTTATCCACCTTGTCGTCCGTCATGCAGAAGCACCTCAGTCTGGACTCTACCGGATCGTTCATCTTAGCAAACACCACAAACTTGGCCATGTAGGGCACACAGATCAGCTCCCTGTACAGCTGCGTGGCCAGGCCCACTGTCTCCGGAATCTGATGGCAGTCTGCTAACCAGAACCTGCAAAAGTAACATATAAAGTGATGAACATTTCAGACACAGAGAGAAAAAAACTACAAGCTCAGTCACAAACACTTGCTTCTTCCCAAAGTATAGTGTTTGTATTGTGTCTCACCTGGCAGAAACATTGGTGGTGAAGGAGACGCAGTCATTGACGAAGGTGAGAGGAGTTGTGCCAGTGATGTCTTCCCACTGTGCTGGGGATGTACCGCCTGGTAGGAAACATACCAAATACAAATATCTTGAACATTATGTACGGGGAACATGAAGGGACATTATAAAAGATACACTTGACAGAAGTCATCTTCATATTCCCTTCTGATACAATATTTTCAGGAATAAAAAGAAATGCTGTAATATTTGCTCTTTCTTGACTCAAATTATTATTATTTTGATGTTATACAATTTGAAAAGTAAAAGGTCCCCTACAGACATGTTTTATAGAAATACTAGAATAGAATTTAAATAAGAATTTGTGTCAGATATGGGTTTTATTCTCCCAAAAAAGTTTTTATTACTGAGTTGTAAATGATTAAAGTTACATCTACTCTCTGAAATGACTGATTGCTTCCTGTATTGACACCACACAACTGTTAAAATATGGAATAGCACCCCGAAGCAGCTCAACTAAGCTGAGCAAATCATTTTACAAAATAGTTTGCATACATTATGTATTCTCTAGCCCATAACCATCACAAATACATGTCGAACCCCAGCTCTTTAATTTAACCTGAACCTTAATCCATCTTAACCTTTAAACCATATCTTAACCCCTTAAACATTCCTTTGAAAGAAGTAAAGACAAGCCAAAATATCCCCCCTTTTTAAAAACTGTCCTCACTCTCAAGTTCTCAAACTGGTCCTCACAAAAAGTACAACCACACACACAATTATACCTGTAATGCTACAGAGAAGGCGGAGACATGGAGTACAGTCTCCTTTGTAGCCGTTGGTAAGCCCCTCCCCTGAGAGGGGCGGGACTGGGATTGTCATAGTGATGGGCTTGTGGAACTTCCTTCTTCTGGGCTCCACGGTAACGATGGGGCTGAAGGTTGCTCGGTTACCAAGGATTTTCTTCACAGTGTCGTCAGGTACTGGCTGGGCCTGGGAGAGAGGAGCCAATGATCAATGAGTGATGAGTGTTTTATTTGTGTGTATTGTTTATGGCATCCAGTAAGGGGGACAGATAAATAACAACAACAGACATCTCACCTGCAGTCCAACTTTGATCTTCTTGGTTAAAGCCCCCTCAGGGAAGGAAGCTTGAACCAATGGGACGCTGCGGCTGCACAGAGTCCCGCCTTCTGGTCCCATCTGATTGGTCTCCTGCCTGATTCGAGACACTACAGCAAAGTACTGTGGGAAGTCCTTGGTGATGATGCGGCAGATTCTCTTCTTCTCCAGCTCCTCGGGACTGTCCAGTTCTATGTCATCAATGACATAAATAACATTAACATAACTTATTTATTTTCCAAACTATGAGTTCAATCTCTCTCTAGTATGACTCTAATACAGGATTTTACTTGCTTTAATTACCTAAAACCTACTCCAAGGAGTTTTTAACTGGTAATTTTGACTGATTCCTCTATATGACGTACATAGACAAACAAGACCATAAGTGGGAAGATTGGCTATTTCTATATAGTTATTCTTAATTCCCCTTGAAATCAATGAAACGAGGCAGTGGAAACACTACTGCTTTTCTCCACAGGGGCCGCCAGGATCAACAAAACATTAAGCTCCTTGTTGCTGCTTTCACGAACTTGTCCAGTAATTACATAACTTGCGTTCTTTAAAAAACACACATGATTCACACACAATCATTTTATGTGCTCTACAAAATAATTTGTGTTATTACACATTCTGATTATGACCTAATGGTCCTAAACCCAAGAAAAAGGGAGAATAAATGCTAAACACTAATGGTCAATGGGTTACATTACATAATGTATTAAAACTACTTATGTTTTTAGAAGTTATTGTGATGCTACAGTTAGGACTCAAGATTCTGACCTGGGTCAGATCTGGTAGGTGGCTCCTCCGCTTACCACATCTGACCAAGGTACACTTAGAAAAAAAAGGGCTGAAAGCAGTACGATACACTGTAACTATGTCTAATTTCTCTACAAACAAAATCTTGGATCAGAATTATTCATAAAATGCTGTAACTGTAACCCCAATGCTCTACACATTGGGGTTTTAAAAACACTTACAGTCATGTATCATTTTAAATCCCAGGTCCATAAATGTTTAAAGTTGCCGGGGTGCTACTATATGACAAAGATTTGACTAAATAATAAAAAAGTAAAAACGTGTGCTTTACCTTCATCCATCCCACCGAGGAGCTGATTCAGGTCCTCGTTTTTATAGTCGTACATATGCTCTTTCCAGGATTCTCCGTTCTCGCTGCGCAGGAGGATCAGCTCTCTCTCCTGGCCCCGCATCGAGCCAAAATGAGGGATCTCCACTATCACAGGCCTAGTAAGGTACATGTCATGGAAATATGGTTTAATTACTCATATTTTAAAATGACGAGTAGCAATTAAACCAAAACGTAACGCTACCGTTTGTCTTTAAAGTAAACCTGGACTAGGCAAGAGAAGAGACGGTTGAGTTCATTCTGATTACAATGATAGCTGTAATTTAATGGTAATTTAATGTAAAATTAAATCTGAAATACAAATGATGGATGACATATCATAGATCTTCTCTTTAAGCATACACAGGGGATAATAAAAGTGGAATTTATTCATTAGGAACATGGTTGGACACTGGTCTCAAAACCATACTGTACAGGTATGAATGAACTGATGACAGTGTAGCGGTGGCCGTGCTGCAGTTTGATGAGACATTCAGAGTGCATGTCATAGCGTGGCATGACTTGACAGGACACGTGAAATGGAATAAGGAAGTGGGAGGAAGAAAGCTGCACAGCCCTTATTCAAAAAAAGGCATGATAGCAACACAAGAGAGAAGGATGAACATACTCTACCCTGAGGACTGTTTTTTTCCAGAGTCACTCAGAATAGAATAGGACAGACTAAAACAACCACTGTGGAGGTATCAGAGGAACTATATTCGTTGATCATCACCTTGGATAATCCTCAAAAAATCAGTCACAAATGATTATTTTTCTTAAGTGCACTATTTTCTTACTACTAAAGTACTATTTTCAGACAAAGTTATAAATCCAAGTTGTAGGCAGAAGCAGACAAGCCGCCATTACTGTAGTGGCACTTAAAGGATAGAGGATTTCACTTTTTAAGTGCTTGAAGTAGAACCGTAAATGCTGGAAAAATGTGTCCTTTAGTGCCATTAAAATTAACTTCACAATTCACAAAACTTAAACTTTTCAACAAACATTAGTCAAGTTTTACATATTTTATAATATCCTTTATCTTATTTATATAGAAAAACAAAACTTTTCAGAGAACTTGAAATTAAGAAATTAAGATAAAATAAAGGTCAAAAGCTTCTGCACCATTACTTTAATTATACTTTCGTAAATTTCTATTAAACCCTCATGTTTTGATCGAATTCTGCCAAACAAATGGCCGAGCAAGAACCGCTGAAGACCAAGGGACTGATTGTGAACCTAACCCTAACCCAAATATCTCTTGCTAGCTTGCTACTCTCTCACGTTTCCAGACCAAAATGATGCATTTACAATTTTTATTATATATCATTCTTCTGATTACAGAGTTTGGCAATTTTATTCTATAAGTGAGTAAACTTACAACCCCTGACTAACTGAAATATTTTATGAATATTTCATATTATATTCAATAAAATAACAGTACAGAACAACAGATAAATTGTATAATGAACCCAAATAGTGAATGCAATAACTGCAGGAAGCTTGTGTAAAATGAGTAATTTGGATGAATTTTCTAGCAGATTATTTCCTGTGAATATTGATCAGAGATGAGTTTACCTGATATTTTTAATTACATTTAATAATTAATAAAATTGTCAGTCTGTATTAAATTACTTAATAGGCTTCTCTTTGGACAGTTCAGTGTTTTCATCTCATTGATCTATTGGTTGTTTTAACTGCAAACATTTCGAATGCAGAACAAGGCTGTTATATAATGCAATAATTTAGCCTGTCTTCAGATGTTCAAAGTTTATATCTTCATCAACATCTAAACATTAAAAAATGAATTTAGTTAATGGAACAAAATGCTGAGATATAGGGTTGGATGACGCTCTATGCACCAATCAAGAATCAGAATCTGATGAAAGATGTTGTGTTGCCATGGAGACGCCACTGTTGATTGAATGACAGCAACTTTGTTTGTTGCCTATTCAATCATATAGTTTTATTTAAACACTTAAAATCATAATCAAGACTGTAATGTAAAATAAAGTCTCATACATACTGAGGCTGTTTACTGCTTGTCAATAATCATAATGAATCAACCCTTATGAGTTGTAGCCCTGAAGTTTCACAGGACTGAAGATTTAACATGTTTCATGGTATAAACATGTTTTCACACCGCTCTAAGGTAATGTATTATGGATCAGTACAACTCAGTCAAACCCCTGTACCAATGGCTGTGGAAATTAATTACACAAAAATACTGTGGGATGACATAAAACTGATCTTAAAGGTGAAGTAAAGTAACAGCGGTCATGAGAAGCAGGATGATGCTTGGCTTGAGGAGGAAAAGGCTCATGCCCAACAAGCGCAGTCCAGTCCAAACAGCCAATCAAAACCTTTACTTTCAGTGACATCAGAAGCCCACTGAAAGCTTCTGAAATAAAAAAAACACAATGGTCTCTAAATGAAAGTGGCTGGAAAGTAAGTGTAATGGATTTAAAGCTGTAGTGTGTAGTTTTAGGAAGAATTTTAAAATCTCAAATATAAAAAGGATATTCTGTCTCTCCCTGGAGTGTTATTACTAAACATAATCCACTTTGCTGTGGACCCATCATCCAACTAACTTTAAATACAGGTAAGTAACTTGTCATCCTCCCTTCAGTGTGTGTAGTTCACTACGTCATTGATTTCTTCCCAAAACTACATGGCAACCATATAATAGTAATGTTGTATCCTGTAACAAACCAAAGTTAACAGAGATGGGTAAAATAATCATATCCATCAGCATGAATCAGCCCCGGTCATGTCTTTTCCTTGGGGGAGGTACAGGAGGGAGAGAGGAGCAGGGGAGGAGATGCTATGTTTGGTTCCTACCCAACAAATCTAGTTCCTCTGGGTCCCAGCTGTAGCACTGGACTAACCAGGCTCTCGCCTTCATTAAGGGCTGGCAGCTTTCTGGGAAGATGTAGTTTACTGTGTCCGCAAGATAATGAAACACACACGCACCCACATACACACACAAAACACACACTCGCAAAGTCAGTAACAGCACACACTACTGAGTTCTAGCTTTGTATCAGTAAAACGATTCCTATTATCCTTCTGTTCAGTACTCTGGAGTGCACTTAGTGACAACAGTAATGGAAACCAGTCACACACATTAGCACAGTTACTGGTTGGTGTACACCATTGACAGTATATTTAATGGACAGAGCTTCCAGGTCTGTGAAGTGAAGCCATCACTAAGTGTATTAAACCTGCATTCTGTGTAATGGCCAGCAGGGGGCAGCTCCATTGGCTGCAATAAAAACCGATAACCATGGTCCTTGACGTGGAGAAATGAGAACTTCTCACTTGATTTATGAAGGCTCAAGTAAACAGTTTTCACAAATGAGTTTTATGGTCTCCAATCACCAGTTTCACCTAGTGTCTTAACATAAAACAGGATGATGTTCATAATTATACATTAAGCATGGTATACTGTGTGACTACCCTTGTGATGACAGGTCATACTCAAGTGAGTCTGTCAGCTCAACGCACCAAACTCAGGATCAAACTGTCAAACTGCAGTGTTGATGCAAATATGAATGCCCTGGCTGTCTGACAAACTGTCAATGGCAACGACCCATATACGCGCAAACTCCTTCAGCGGGCTTCAACACACCGACCGAGGTACCATCAGAGATTCTTCTTCAATAATACTCAATTATATTCAATATGAACTAATGCATGAATTAGACCTGTAGCGTTTCAATACAATTATTATAATATATTTAGAAGAGTTAAATTTAACATCCACGATGCAAATCTTGTCCTTTCTGGAGCCTCTTAGTGGTTTCATCTTGGCTGCGGTGATGTAACAGGTGGCCCCAGCTGACATCCACTCTCCGATGGGTGTGGTCCCAGAGATGAACTTGTAGTTCCAGCCTGGTGTGTAAGCTCTGCCTTAAGTCATTTATCCAAGCAGAATACCCGAACAATTGCTCCCGCAAATGCGAGCATGTGCTTTCTATTTCTGAGAAACAAACAAGTCATTTTAACGACGAGCCACATTGGGTGACTAGAGTATTTCCTGGTATTTTTCTACAACATCTGTGGTTGCCAAAAATCTTTTTTTTTTGTTTTGACATAGTGCTATTGCTATAACCAATACCTTAAGTAGCTTCTTTATTCTGACAGCGCAAAATTGTCATACGTTTACTAATTGTGTTTTAGGAGTGATTTTTGCAGAACCTCTTTCTGTTTTCAGTAGGTTTTGATCAAGTTTGTCGTTTAGTAACAAAGAATATATCTTACCATAGAGCCTCTCTTCTTGGCTTTCTACTCCGTTTTGCAAGGCTCTGTCCCAACTGCATCGCACATGGTGTTCAGGGTGGTACAACTCACTTTTTGTCCAATGCATATCTGGTAGTTTACTGGTCTATTGTGCAATAAATATAGCTAAAGATTCCAGCCTCACACCCAATTTTTTAATCCAGGCTTTTGGGCGTTTATGTTCCTCTTAACATAAATATCAGGTTTAGCTATTTGCAGCGCATGGGCCAACTGCAGAAACTGTCCCATTAATAACATAATTATAGTAGTACTAAATAATTAGTAATGTAATATAAAATTAATTGAAAAATCAACACAAAGAATCCAAGATTTCAACGCCCTTATTATTCAGACATGCATTTTGTCCTGGTTTGTATTTTACACTGTAATTGGATACATTACACGGCAATAGTGTGTAGGATTTAGTGAAATCAAGCTCCGAAATTCTTAGGATAAACTAGCAGTGGGCTGCGAAAAAGAGATGAAAGGGCCCTGATAATATGAGCGCTAGTGTTTACTTTGGGCTACTGTTAAGTAGAACATTGGGCCCGCAAAAAAAAAAAAAAAAAAAAAAACCTTCAACATGGCGGACTGTGTAAAAGACGGAACCGCTCACGGTGTCTGTAGAAGAAGGAACTGCTCACTCAATGTAGATAAAAATCTCCAATTCTAAGGTAACAAAACACAATGATTCTTATTTTGCAGGTGCTTATAGCACTAATGAAAAACATACCTATAAATATCATATTCCATTTCCACCAATAGATCCTCCTAAATGGGAAAGTCTTGCCATTCCGTTGAGCCAAATCTATCATTTCTGTCATTTTTTCGGACACACTTCCTGACATTTACTAGGAATGAATATTAAACTGAAACAAGACCACATATTTACTTTGCATTTCTTTTTTCCACATTCTACACTTTTACACAGTTTACATCGGTTAGTGATGTTGTCTTTCCTCTGCCAAAGGCAAACACAGCTGTCCTTGATACTTGAGGGTGAGCACGCTGCCACAATTACACTTGAACTGCAAATTAAACAGCAGGTATTACACCTCAACATGCATATACACACATTCACACTTTCAAATAGAAACGCAGATGGTTGGAAATGGCGATGGTAAGAAGCAGGAGGAAGGAGATGTCAAGTCACCGAACAAAAGCGAAGAAAAGTAAGCAGTTAAGCAACAATTTTGGTGAGGTTTTGAAAATAATTTTATCTTACCCGAGGAACTGAGCTCCTGCTGGACCGACCTCAACCAGTCGGCTGGCCAGGCCTTCTCCTTCCACCATTGGAGGAGGCGATGCCAGTTTGTGTCTCTTGGCCAGTCGACAGGTGATCCTGGTGGGAGCAGTGCACTTTCTGGGCGGGATGATGATGCGCATGCCGTTGTGACGACTTCCTCTCATGGAGCCGCCCCTGGCGTCCACCATGAAGCTGACCAGGAACCTGATGGAGAGCGCAAAGAGGAGGAAGGAGAGGAAGAGACAGAGAGTGATAGGAGACAGAGAGACAGTGAAGCAGAGAGTGCAGAGACAGGGGAGTAAACAGTGTGAGCAAAGTGAAAGAAAGAGTAGCATTTGGGGAGAAAAAGAGATAACCAGAGAGGGAGAGGAAAGGATACAGAAAAGGATTGGAATAAAAAGTAAAATACACATCAATGTAACAACAATATTGATGGAGAGAAGAGCTTTAGTTGAGGTGAGGTCCCTTCCCATGCCGTGATCTTCAAAACACACACAAAGTAAGTGTGAGCAAAAGAGGAGATAGATTAAGAAAAAAGAAAGTGTGAAGAGTTTTCTGTGTTGGCAATGGTTGCACTTTGAAAAGTGATGGTTACAATTAGAAAACACCAACTTCATCAAGTAGATGTCATAATTTTGCTACATGCATTTTCAGAAAATGAATCTATTCTCTGATACTTCAGTAAAGATGTATTGATTGTTGCCACACACAACCGAGCAAAATCTTTTTTGTGGATGAATTAGCCACAATGCCAACACAGGAGCCTCCAGTGTAACCTGTGTATTATTTATATTGGAAGATATTGTAGTTCTGTGTGTCATTTTGACTTAAAAAAGGAAATCACACACACAGAAATCCACACACACACACACACACTGATCCACACCATGCAATTTGGTGAACAAAATGTTAGTGTTAGTTTGTATGTAGCTGTTGAACAATGGTGTGAATATAAATTAGAAAAGTATGATTAACTAACACAAATATTATCTGTGGTTGCAATATATTTATCTTGAATAGAGCTGTATTAACTGATTAATGACTGTTTAACCTGTGTCTATTGTAACTGATCTGTCCATTGACTGTCTGAACTTGCAGTTGGAAAATGTAAAAGCACTCAGATCCAGCTGTAACTAAAGATCAAGTCCATATCAGTGTCTACAAAGTCACATTCTGCGAGGTTTTGCAACACAAACACATTCAGATCAGTTACAGACTCACAAAGATTTTTCCTCCAAACAAAAGGAATAAATACAAAGCCAAAAATCCAAACCACTTTATGTCTGTAATAACACAGTTCACAGGAGAGCAAACACAGATGTTATGAGTGAACAGAGAGGAGAGGGTGTGGGATGTCACCAGAAACAGGAAGTAACAGAAACAAGGTAGTGGTGGTGATAAAGAGGGCAACCAATCACAGTCAATCACCTGCTGTCGTACTGCGGGAGCGGAGAGGAAAAACTGCAGGAATGGAGGACAAAGCAACGCAGGAGTGATAGGTCAACAACAGAGCTGTGTCATTGGAAACACCACTGAGAAGAAGATTACCAAGGAGTCCTTTAAAGGAGCAGTTCCACATTTTTGGGAAATTTGCTTTCTGGTTGAAAGTTAGATGAGGAGATGGATACCAAACTTTCTGTTTAATATAAGGCTACAGCCAGCAGCTGGTTAGCTAAGCGTCGCAGGAAGACTGAAATTGTTGTGTTTATTGTATGGATTTAACAAGAGAGATAAGGAATGTAACAATATAGGTGACATATTCAAATCGGTGAGATAAAAAATGAGTTGTACTCCTCTTTTTGAACAGCAACATATCTACTTTTGACTTTGATTGTTCTGCATCGCTCACATTAGTGGCTGTATCAAGTCACAGGCACAGTTTCACTTTTTCAAAGAAAATATACCCTACCTCAGAAATAAAAAACTATTAAATAATTTGATGAAGAAAATATATTTTGTTATCCATTTAAAACTTTTGTTAAATAAATCAAAGAAAATCAAATCATGACCGCAGTATTGTGAATTGTATTGAGTCATGAGTTTACATTGTTAGATCCCTAAAAGAGATATATTGTGTTAGCTTTAGAGGTATTAGTAAGAGGATTGTCCATTGGACGAGGGAGGCAAGCTGTTTCCAGTCTTTGTGCTAAGCTAAGCTAACTAGCTACAGGCTGCTGCTTCATGTTTTCTTCATTTTATTTCTAGAACAGATATTAGAGTGGTATCAATCTTCTCATCTAACTTTCTGCCAGTAAGCAAATTTGCGTATTTCCCCCAATGTCAAATTTTAAATTACAAATCCTTCATTTCCGCACTCAGCGGGGAATCTGCTGCTCCAAGATCAACGATTTAACTGACCTTCAGCATCAGGTGAGCACTAGTCGAATTATTCTGTATTTGGTTATACAGAGAGAGAAACTACAGCCAACAGTCATCTCTCTGACACTGTAGCTTTAAGCAGATTCTGGTATGTTTTTACAGGTTTGATACCATGCTATTACACAGCAATTACGGAAATGAGGAAGGTGTAACTATTTAAAACTTGGAAAGAACAGACAATCAGAGAGGGTGAAGAGAAACCGCTGCGGGTAGGAGCCGTTTTCTTGAGGGGAAAGAAAATGAGAAAGAGAGAACTGGCAAGGAAGACAGACAGAAAATACATACAGTAACAGGTAGGCGGAAACAAAGACAAGCACTTGTCTTGTGTCCGTATCGCCTCATACCTCAAATTTGTCTAAACGCCAAAACACTGTGATCACATTAGCTTAGTTCTGCCTCTCCCTCCTCCCTCACTGTAAGGTGAGACAGCATGGTTGATATTTCCCCTGATCCTTGTCTCCTTCCCTCCCTCTGCTCCTGTCTTTATCCGTTCATCCTTTCAAATGTGCTTACCCGGAGTGTATTGGTGAGGAGACTAGGTTGACATTATCCAGTGCGTCTGCAGTCCAGCTGTACCTCCTCAGAGAGTCGTTGTCAAAGTCCTTAGCCACCGCCAGATGCTGTGGAGGAGACAGCAAAGGTCAGTGCAGTGCACGAGTGTGTGCGTGAGAGGAATCTTGCATGTGCACAAGAAGAAATACATGATAATGTGTGCTTGTTATCTGAATGAGCGTACAGTCGGTGAAGAAACCAGATCACAATACACAGATTTTGTCATGAAGGCGTGCATTTAAATAACCAAGAAAAACTGAAAAAAATGAAGTGTATGCTAGAAATCTTAGCTCCAACAAGAAAATCTTCCAATAAAAAGTTTCCTGATGGCAGACATTTACACATCATCTAAAATGAGGACACTAAGGTACAGAACAGCAGTGAACAGCTACGATATAACAAGATGATAAGCCAACTTTATTTCCAGTTACACCTCATCTAAAGGAGGGCATCACTGCTAGTACATCTTGCAGGATTTATGGCTGAGTCATAAAATTATTTCTACACATGGCAGATGTCATTAAGAAAAAACAAATGTGGATATATATAGAACTCTAGTAGGACACCAGAATTTAAAAACATCCTCTATACATACATATAGTGGAAAGAAAGGAAAACATAAACAGAATAACAGACTTTTAACTGTATCAACCAATGGTAAAAAAGACGCCCCAAAAAGATCTGCCAGCACTGTGCACAGTGAATAGATGCAATCACTGTATAATACAGATGCCATATTTCTATTCCAGAGAGGCTCTGATGCGTTAATAGAGACACTTTTGCTGACATGAATTCAAAATTGAAACCAACGCTTACAATTGTTTAAAAAGGCTTTATAACACTTTATAGGTTAATATTAAAGTTAGGAATCATTTTAAAGACTCAGCTTAGTGAGTAAATATTGACATTGTAAAATACTGAAATGATAATGTGGAATAAATTATCATTCCTAATCAATCCCACAATAAGAACAGAATCCAGTATTGGTATGTGGTGGTAGCGTATAGCCTCTGATTATTATCACCAACAGTCAGTCGACTTTATAACAATGAATAGAAAAATGAATATATACATGCTCTGATGGTAACATAACCAAATTGAAAACATAAAACAAATGATGATAAAGTCTGAATGGCATATTCTCACGTGCACAGACAGAAGGAGCGCATGATGACTTGAACATATACCTTATTATGTTGCTCTACAATGAAAGACCTTTCCTTACAGAGCATCTGGAGTAGCGTGAGAGGAGACAGGCTGTTATTTGGCAGCTGTTACATTCACAAATCATATAATCATGTTACTCTAAAGTCCTCTTCAAAATACTGCATTGTGTGTCTCATTGTACTGTAGCACCGTCTGTACATTTGAAGGCAAAAATAGCAGCATACAAGAGCATGTCCAGACTCCTTCTAACAAAGATTCCTGTTTGGAGCAATAATTTGACCAACAAAGGTCTCTGTTTCGTTGCTTTCAAATTGAAAATATCTCAATATATTAATTTCCCAGAGGCTTTTATTGTCAAGCTTAAAGAGGAACTTTACAATGGGCCTCATGCAAGAACCACTCGTAGGAACATATTGGTTCTGAAGTGGTTTGTACGACTGAATTTCATATGAAAGCTCTTCTTCTTGATTTCAGCAACAGCTCTCAGGTGACACGGCGTTAACAGCACTCATTATTTTTTCCCACTCGTGGGCTTTAGCAGGTCCTTTACTTCCACTGCTGGCACTGGTAAAAATTTAAGGTGATTTGCACAGAAAGTTAGGAGCGCTTGCTGAATCTGACGTGGCACACTCGTACAAGCCCACCATACAGAAAAAAAAAAGAGAGAGTTAAGATAAGAATACGAAAATGTTCTTGCATGAGGCCCATTGTTAGTACAATACCCCCTCAGGAGAAGCTGTCTACTGTCCCTGAAGGGCTACCTGGATTTGGGCTTGGAGACTACAATGATGACTGCTAAGAAGATGAAAACATTTTTATCATGATGCCTTTAAACACATCACATACGTCTCACCTCACCATGTCTAGCAAAAATAATCTTCGTTATGTCATTTAACATAACTCTGATACAGTTTTTCACTACCAAGTCCACAGATGGAAGACCTGGTGGAGACTCGTGCTGTCTTCTGGCTTGTGGAATATATTCCCTTTTTACCTTAAGTGCCATTTTGCTACATATGCAAAGCAAGTGGGCCATCACAGTAATCCTTCTTAGATCGTAGCACTAGCCACTAATCTCATTTCCTCTTTCAGTAAAATGTAACGGGATTGGCCGTCTTTATGTAAACTCCAACTCAGGTGTAAGAGGATTGGTGAATCGCCTGGCTTTTGGCACAGCACCAAGACGGCTTGGCACATTTGGAGGCAGAACTGAGTCTCTCCTGAAGTTAATGACCTGCAGATTACTGACTGAGAGAGAAGTAGAGACAGAAGACAGCAAGAGACACAGAGAGACAAAAAGAGACGTGCACGTTTAATCACCCATACATCCAGTCAGTGTACGTACCATCTCCTTACTGGGTGCCAGCATCTCCTCTATCATCATGCTGTCCCGTGTGAACGAGCTCCGGTTCAGCGTGTTGGACCTATCAGAACTGAAGGAACGCAGGCTTGGTGTGGTTGCCGTAGAAGTCACGGATTACCAAGACAACAGTCACAATGATGGAGAGGGGAGGTGAGGAGGAGGAGGAGGAGGAGGAGTCAGGAGGGGGGTGGGTGTAAGGGGGGGTATGAAAGTGAACAGAAAAAACAAACATAAACACATTAAATGCATGCAGCTTCCAGGAACCTGACTGTATGCCACCAACAACAACCACAAGGCAAGAAAGGACGCTCTTGAAGAGGGAATTCAAGACAAACCCCAGAGCTAGAAAAAAATAATTGTTGCGCAAAGGTTATTGATTTGTCCGAGGCAACAAAACAAACATCTTCAGAAACTAAACTTTGTAGAAATGCAGATGCAAATGCAGCTGTCAGTGCTGGCTGATTTTCCAAATAATCCCTCTTGGATGGTGTATATGCAGTTAAAAAAAACATGGGTTTGTTACAATGATCACCATACTGTGTATACCTGTCTATAGCAAGTGGGCTATTCACACCAATGTGGCACACAATTCAAAAGCCCCACAAGCCTGAGTGAAGCAGAGTAGCTTATGAAAGTTAAGCAGATTATTGTATGATAGACAATGGACACAATACTGGGAAAGGAAGCTGGTATTGGCCGTCACGATGAAAGATTTGCAGCTAATTAGCTGCTGCAATTTTGTTTCATACTCATCTTTTGACAGTACATCAATGTTAAACTGTAGATTGTTCAAAAGATGAAGTTTCTGTCTCATATGTCAGTGAGTGTATACTGCGATGTTGTTTGTGATGGGGCCTTCAGAGAGACTTTTATGAGGCAAATAAAGAGCATTCCTGAGCAATGACATATGATGACTGTTTGCCTGCACGACTCAACCGCAATTACAACACTGCTATCTGTTCCACACAAGTAAACCAACGTGAATCAATTAGCCTGTGCTCCGAGGAACATGGCAATAACACAGCTCTCATTCAGAGTAGACAAACCTATTGAAGCCAAGAGAGGCTGAGGTTGCAGTATATATATATATATATATATATATATATATATATAATTTTTACTCAAA